AGGGAGGCGCATCCCGGGAGAGCGGCCCTGCCGGGGCTTTCACCTTCACACCAGGCCTAAGGAAGAAAAACCACCGTCCCCACCCCCGGTTGTGGCGTGGTTTAACTTCCACCAGTGCAGACACCACAGCACACGTGGGGGGCCGGAGGCCGCTAAGAGCAGCCGGGACTCCACTCTCATGAGCTCGCCCGGGTTTCCCTCCCACTCCGGGAAGGGCCTGGGGTGTTGACAGGGGCAATCACACGCACCACCGTGCCCCGTTTCCACCCAGAAGGCCGTGGTGAGCTCCCGCCCCTGCCTGGATAGGGAGCGCCTGCCTGAAACGGGTGCCAGGGCAATGGGAAGCAGGAGCAGACGTGAGGGTGTGAGGAGGGAAGATGGCAGTCTCACCTCTACTTTCATTCCTGCCTGGAAGCTGATGCCGTCGGGGATGGTGGTCTGGAAGTCCGCGATGGTGTAATATTCCTCTTCCACTTGAGGAGGGACAGGAGGTTTAGGCAGGTTCAAACCACGTGGCTATGAAAAGAAAAGAGAAAGCCCATGTTTCTACAGAAAGTGTGACACTACAGCCACATAGCCCCCAGCCTGCAGAGACACAGGCCAGGGAGATCAGCTCTGCCCATGCAGCACGCTCACCAACACCAGCAAACCACTTCCAGCATGAGCAGAACATTGCTCAGCACTAGAGCTCTTGCTGACGAGAGGGAGGGAGCCAGTCTGCAGCCTCCCGCTGGCAACCCAGCCTTACAGGACAGACCGGCCAAAAGGCCATTAAAGATCACATGCAAAGACAAGAGTCTTAAGACAGCAGGGAGGCGACATGCATACTCTAGCCTTTTTCAGGAGCAGAGCTCATGGTACAGGGGCAAGATCCCAGGCAAAGAATCACCAGTAACCAGAGCTCCTTTCAGTATTCCTCTCCGACTCCCTTTGCCATTGCTGCTCTCCTACATCAGCTGGCACTTACTATGGTGAGATCTCGGCGAGGAGGAGGTCTCTGCCTCATCTTTGGTGACTCTGTGGAGGAAAATTTCAGATGCTGTTGAGTTTCTGGCTTTTGGTTATATATGCATTCACAAAAGACAAATGAAAGACAAAACAGAAAGGCAAGGACCAAGCTGGCGCCATGGGCAAGGAAGGCAAAGTACCCTAAGTGGCACGGGTCACCCAGGTTTTGAGGGCATTGCACTGGAAGAGGAACCTGCTCTACACAATCAGGTGCTGCTGGGAAATACAGCTGAGGTCACCACAGGAAACTGTTATTTTTTTTGCAGGCCTGAGCCAGAAGACCTGGCCTGCAGAGGGGTTAAAATGCCCCAGCTTCTGAGAGGAGAGCATCTCCAGTCAGGGAGGGGGAGTCTTTTATCCCCATCACATTTGCTGATCCTCAGCAGGTCCCTGGGCAGCACTGTGATTGTGCCCCATTTGCCTGTGCAATGTCACCTTCAGACCTGGCTGAACCACCTGCAAGCCTTCTGTCTCCCTCATGTCTCATTACGTTACCCAAAAGCCCACAGGAAAGGCTGCGCTGACAGCCCAGCCACCACCAGCCTCCTCCTGACTGGCCACTTACTGCGTCGGATGTCAACGTTGGGCAGGGGACGACTGTCAGATCTCCCGTCCCTTTGGCCAGCAAGCCCATCCTTCTCTCTGCTCACCAAGACCTGCTGCCGGGAGATGCCATCCAGATCCAAGGCACACGAATGAGTGGAGGAGCCTGACCCCAGCTTCTGTGAGAACATCTCTCCATTCCCCTTTTTGAGGTAGGAGGCGGGGGCCCAGCCTTCTTGGCCCTGGTGCCTGCAGTGACAACAACAGCAGCATCACTGCACAGAGCCCCTGCACTGTGACGGGGCTGTGAGCCCTTCCCAGAGGAGTGACCCACTGTGCTCGAGTGGTGTTGAGCCATTGGACATCTCTAAAGCCAGAGCTCAGTATACAGTTGACCGAGGGTACCGCATGATCAGAGCAGCATGAGCTTGCCCAGTGTCATGCTCCGTGGCACATGGGCATCTGGAGAGCTCCAGCCATGACTAACGTTCCCATGCAAGCCGGCTGCAGGCAGTGGGTCAAGGGCTGGGAATGCTGCAAAGCCCTGTTTCCTTTTTGCCTCAGCAATGGCCCCAGTTCAGGAATGAAGCACATTGGCAGGGGAAGCAAAGGGGAAAACTAGAGGGCTACTGCTAGGATTGATGTACCTGGTCTTTGGAGAAAGCACAAGCCTTCTGCCTGCACACTAGCAGCCAAGATACCTTCTCTGCTCTAAATCTCCACTGTATAGGAGAGAAACCAGTCCCGCAATCAGATTGAAAAACCACATCCGCAGAGTCTCCCTGCCATGCAGGAGGGTCCCACGCCAGCGTCGGAGACTTTCCCCACTGCTGGGCTGCAGCCACTACACTCAGATGGCACCAGCTCCTGAGCTTGTAATTGCCTTTAGAGCTCTCGTGGCAGCTCTCCTCTGCTTAACAAGTCCGTGGACGTTTTTCTGGGGCTTTGCTGCTGCCAAGACCACAGGTTCAACGTAAGGTTAAGAAAACTGCAGCATGTGCTCCCACCCCGCTCAAGTCCGGCCATTTGCTAGACCACAGACAAGAGAAAATGAGCTTCCAAGACCAAACAAGTATCAGCTCGGGAGCATCTGGAGTTTTTGGCCTCAGCACACCCTGCTCAGAGCAGACCTGGCCCGGACAATGTCCCTTATCCACAGGAGTCTCCTAACACAGACGAGGATCCAGCCTGCCTCCAGGACACTCCCTGGTTTTCCTATCAGCAGCGTATGACGTAACACCAACGCTCTCGCTCTCAAAAGCGGTTCCCTTTGCAATGCTGGGGCATGTGATGCTGTGATGCAGTCCACCTCCCAGCACAGGAAACTGGGGGATTTTAAAGTTGTTTAACCACAGCTATGCTTGGCTGAAGCCCTGAACATCAGCTAGCCTTAGTCAGTTGGGATGGAGAGAAATAAGCTCTGCTCCTCTGCCCTTCCTGATATCCTAGACTTGCCTTTGGGCTGTACATCCCATGTGCATTGGGTCTCTACTCTGCACAGCCCCTGCTGCAGTGCCAGGGAAGAGGAAGAGGTAAAGATAGTACCTGATTTTCCACCAGCCCTCCAGGTTCTTCTGGATCACCTCCACCACAGCCCCTTTGTCCAGGTTCATTTCATCCTGGTCTCTTGCCGTGTATGGGTAAATAACGGTGTACTTCTCCTCTGTCAGAAAGAAAGTGCAGTTTCACAGAGATACTGTTTATGGAAGCCTGGACTCAATATGAACAGTGGTTAAGTGCTCTATATAAATGATAATTCTTGTTGAATACAGATGCAAACACACAGAAATACACAACCATTCATAAGATAAATGCTAGGGAAATGTATGTCAAAACTAACCCAGCTGCATTTTGAAATGTAAGTTTTGGTGAGCTAGTCTGGCCCAAGGAGAAGTTGTCTAAAAGAGTTCCTTCCCTCCCTTAGGACTAAAGACTACCTTTATCTGACAGCTCTCCTTTCACCTGCTCTTCACAGGAGCCCTTCCATGCATCCACTTCCATTTAAATTTCTTTCTCATAGCCTTTAAAGAACTGTCCTCCATACAAGGAAAGAAATCCCATGGGCAGCAGGGAGTAACCCCACACATACAGACGTGCTCTGACACACAGCTCTCAAACCGCTCTAGACAGCAGGTCTAAGTGACCTTCTCCATTCAACAGCTGAGTCTCCCAAACCATGCAATGAGCCTGGAGAAAAGTCTGATGTCCTGTCCACTAGACCAAATGTTGGCAAGCAGGGACATGGATGCTCTTCAGGAGGAAGGGGTAACATCCTAACAGGTCCATCTAACCACCCTTCTCCCTCATCACCTTGTCCTGTCCTCTCTGGATGAAATCAAGGAAAGCAATTGCCCATGTTTAAGCAGTGTCACAATAGGGTGAAGGCTATTTTGGGAAAAGTCCACCTTCAAAACCCACACCTCTGGACACTGATGTATCACCACCGTGCAGGTTTCCTGGATTTGTTTTGTTTTGGAGGAGCACAGCCTTCGAAGGGCCTGATTCCCACCCCCTTCATGCAAATGAGTGAAAGCAGAAAATGTCCTGTCACATCCAGCAAAACCAAGCTGGCTCTTCTCCTGACCCGCTGTGAGCCACCAACCCCAGGGCTCAGAGGAGTTATTCTGACAGAACTAAGGCAGCAGTTGCAAGAAGTCTGCATACACGTGTTGGGGGAAAGCAGAAACTCCAGCTTCTGTACCCAGAACAAGCTTCACGAAGTGAGAAGAAAAGAGAGAGGAAAGAGGTAGACGTGAGTGGGATTGGTGGAGGGCTGAGGAGCATGTATGGCACGCACGGAGGACTGGCACAAGCAGGGTTCATCACATGCAGAGCAAACAAACATGCAGACAACAAGGCTCCAAGCACAAAACATGGGCAGCCAAACAAGTCTCTGTGAAGTCCACCTTGACCCCATCCACTGGTGTACAAGTCCCCAAGAGTCCGACGGCGGCCAACGTGCCTGGGCAGAGACCAGTATCTCCATGGGGCTGAGAAGAGCATGTTGGGGAAGCAGGAGAAGGACAAGAGAGGGCGTAAGGAGGTGGCACTTCAGGTCCAAGAGGAGACAGGGCTGACACCAGCGAGTGGCACAGAGACTCTACTCACCTGGAGCTCTCTGGGGGCCCTCCTTGGTCTGAGCCCCCCTCCCACCTCCATCTCCCCAGACGAGGGACTGAGCCAGCTACAGCCCTGCTTTGAGCAAGCAGTGGTCAACGGGAAGGATGTGTTCTCCAGGGGCGTTTCAGATTTGCTCTAAGCAAAGGTTGATACCTTGCTATTCTCACAATGCGAGCTCATGCATGCTCTTTGTTCTGCATGGCTTCAGAAGACACGAGAATTGTCCTAGGACCTGAGCTCTGCTCCTCCTCCAGTGCAGGTAACACAGCTCCCTGGGGCCTAAAGGAGGCATTGAGATGGCAGGTCTGAGTGTTCCCTGGAGGTGGCACTTTCAGCCCCTCTATGGGGGAGCAGAAAGGCCAGCAGTTACACTCCCAGTATCCAGCTGCAGAACTGGAGCAGAGCACTGGGCAGGCAGAACCATTATGGCCAGACATAACTGAACAGCACGTGTGGGTTTGTGCTTCTCTGGGCTTGTACCCTGCCTAAGTCAGGGAGGGCTATACAATCCTGCGAGCAGTAGCAGACAGAAGCTGGGGCAGATCACTCCAGCAGCTTCTTACCTTCATCGGGCTGCATGGAGAACTCATCTTGGACACCATCCTGAGCCTCTAGGCAGGTTGCCGGCACCCACCCTTGCTCCTCCGACGTACTCACAAACCACCAGCCTGAGAAGAAAACAGCAGGCAGCTCAGCCAAGGGTTCCCACCAGCCAAAAACTCACTCCCTCCCTCCAAACAACAAGCCTGGGGGGCTTTGCCCCCTCATTGCTGCCTACACGGGAAGCTGGGGTGACCCAAAGCAACAGAGCCAAGCTTTACCTGAAAGGGGACACAGACAGCAGTATGGGAGAATCACAGCTGAATGGTATCTGAATGTATAGTTTTGCACCCCACGAAAAACAGGAGAGGCTCCAAGAAATTAATGGCTCCAGCCACAGCATTTGCTTTCTTTTTTTTTCCCTTCATGGTTCATTTTCCCTCAGTCTGGGTCAGCAAGCCCAGGCTAATTAGCAGAGATGAATACACTGTCTGCAAATCGATAGCTGACTCCCGCTGCGCTCTCACCTTCTTTACATTCGTGGAAACAGCAAATTTTAAAAGCTAAGAGCAAATGCAGGATTAAAACATGAGCTCTCCCAGCGGAAACCTAGCCAGCTCCATAGTGGCCACAAGCAATTCTGGGCCACCCTGGGTGTCCAATCAAAATAAACGCATGCTCCTCAGTTATTAAAAACAACAGCTATTTGTGTCTTTAGGGGGAAGAAACATAAATACTGAGCATTATCCTCAGAACGTCACCAGTGAGTCATTTAGAAAGAGAACTAGATTGTCAGGGAGGGAATCAGCAGCTACCTGCATGGAAAGGAAAACCAGGGCTGACATTTGATAAATAAATTATTTGCCATAGGTTTTGAATTGGCTGTGCTAATAGGTTTCACTTGCTTCAGGGTTCCTTTGATTTTCCTCATTCTCAAACACAGCTGCTGGTGCAGCTAATCTTCTGGGGACCAGCCATCCAGAGTTTTAAAATCTATTTAAAACCCCTCTAACGGGGAATAAGTTCCCCTTTTCCACAAACTCCAGAAGTTGGGCCCATGACATGACTCGGTCCCTTTGCAGAGGTTAAGAGCAAGTTTAAGTTTTGAAGCAAGCGAATAGCTCAGCTGCCTGCCCCACTCCATGGCCGGGTGCTTCGTTGTTCGGAGGCAGGAATTGCAAATGCACAACAGGGGCTTTCATGGGCACCATGAGAGTGTCCCCCTCCATCGATAAAACCAGCCTGCCAACTCTGGGAATGGCTTTTGTCCTCAGGGCCCATTGGCCAAGTTTCTCAGCATGAAGAAGCATAAAGCAGAGACTGTAAAAGATGGACGGCGCCTGGTGCTCAGCACACGGGTAATCGGACCCTTCCCTTACAGACAGCCCTGAAGTCTTGTCCACGCTCATACAGACAGCCTGCAGACTGAAGCTGCTTCCTCCACGTCCCACCTCAGCTGACCATCCAAGGACATCCCTACGAGGTGCCTGGAGGCTGTTTTGCTTAAGGTCCTGTTAGGAAGACACTGACAATACAGGATTGCTACTCCTGCCCCTGCTCTGCAACGCAGAGTAGACCCGAAGCCCTCTGCCGAGCCAAACTCTCTGTACCTGATTCGTTCTTCTCAATGATATCCACCAACTGGCCCACGCACAAGCTGATCTCGGAGCTCTCCTGCTTCTGGTACTCCGCCACCACGACATACTGCTCCAGCACCAAGGGGTCGACCGACGCAGAGTCAGCTCCTGCACAGGGGGGACATGTGCCAGGGTCAGCACCCGCTGCCGAGAGCATAGGCCACCACTCCCGAGCACTACTGGCCTGCGAGCAGCTCCAGGACACCCTTGGGACCCCAGCGCAAGAGATGTGAGCCAGAAACTTGGGCACAGTGAAGAGGAGAGAGACCAAACCAGCAGCCAGGTGAGATGGGTACAGCCAGGTGAGACCTTTCACTTGCTACCTACCTTCCTGCTCACAGACGGAGCCATCCAAGCAACCCCACCACCACCACGGATGCACACAGCAGCCTGGCCCCAGCTGTCAGTGACTCCTGAGCACTGGCAGTCTCCAGAGCACAGTCTCCCCAACACATGGACCAGCTCAGACGCCAGCTCCATACACACAACCTGCAGCAAGTTTTGCTGGTCCTGGCTAAAGAGCCTGGACACCCAGGCGTAGGGGTGTTCGTAGGACAGAGCAGCATCGTCCTGTCCTCACTGCCCTTACGTGTTGCAGTCACCTTCTCGCAACCCGCCAGCATGGTTTGCTCTCTCTGTCTGCTAAATCTGCTCAGCTCTTCCTGCTGGAGATCCCGATTTCGTGTCAGAAGATTAAAAAAAAATACCCCAAGGAGGAGCAAACAGGTGGGATACAGCGGGAGGAAAGCTCTCCTTTGGCCAAAAAGGGCCCTGACACCCAGACGAGAGGGGCTACAGGGAGAGATGGGCGCTGTGGCTGCAGGGACTCCAGGCAGGATACGGGTGGCATTGCGGGCTAAGGGCAGGGGACCCCTGCCACACCGCCTGCCCCTCCTCTGCTGGGCACCGCAGCAGGGCGAAGCTGGCTTGTGCTTTCCAAGCACATTTTCATTTAGGAGAGTGCTCTGGATATAGACGCACCCCCTTCGCTTGGTGCTGATCGCGATGCTAGCACTGCAACAGAGGTTTCCACTCGCATCTGTTTCTGCTCTAGAACCGTGGCCCCAGGGTTGTACCTACACGCCAAGCAAAGCTACCCCTTCCCCACTTGTGCACAGAGGCTTGCTGTGTGGGGGGAGACCACAAAGAGACACGGGGTTTGCAGGCCCACATAAGCAGACACTTCGGCCCCACCGAGCAGGGCGTTCGCTCAAGCTCAGCCTCCAGGTACACCAGGTCACCCAGAGCACCAGGACCACCCGCCCCATCTGCCTCCAAAAGCCTCCAAGAAGCAAAAAGGTGACAGAAACTCCTGCCCAAAACTGACCTCCACCCTGAACCTTGGCTCTGGCCTCCAGGCCAACACTATGCCTTGCAGCTTCACAACCTGCCAGATGAAGACACTGGTGCATCACCCCTTTCTCCCCAGGCGCGGTATTAGTGTTTGCCGAGTGCTTTGGAAACAGGATAGTGTTAATTACTATAACAGGAGTGGTAGAAAAGCATCACACACCTGAACATGGGTGTTAAGTTGAATATTTAGGGGCTGTGCATGTACCCTGAGCAGGAAGCCTCAAGTTTTGGGTCAGGGCAGAAATCCCAACTGTCCCAGCCCTCTAGCTGCTACAGCACAGCAAACACATGGGACAATTGCCTCCAATCTCTAAAGGGTGTGAGAAAGAAACGACAGAGAGACTGATGGTCCCTTGGGATATAAAGGCAAAACGCAGCAAAGACAAACTCAGGCCATGTATCATGAAGAAGTTTCTATGGGCAAGTGCATGTACACTGCAACGTGAGAGGTCTCAACCTGACAAAAGATCGTTCCTATAGGGGAACCTATTGCAGGGCACAATGCTGCAATGAGCGGAACAAGAGAGAGAAGCAGAGATCGACAAGATCTAGGTCTTCAGCAATCCTAGGATGCTCTGCTACCCCACAGAGAACTACTTCTGTGCCCAAGGTCACAACCTCTCAAAACGATTCTGAGAAAGAAAGACCACAACAAAGATTTAAATGAACAATGTATCTCCAGGACAGTCTAATTTAAAGGAAGAGAAGACAGATTGTCCGTGTTACTCTTCTATAAACAGCACCCTACGGAGCTTCAGGTGAGCTGGCCAAGTGCAGAAGACTTGTTACTGCTAATGAAAGCTTCTTCTATGCCAAAACCCAAAGGTGGGGCACCAAACAGAATTAAAAATAGCCCTCCAAAGTGAATGGTGGATGCTAGGACTAGCTGTTCTACTAGCTCAATTAAAGGTTTGTGCTTAAAGTGATCAGACAATCTACCCAGCCCCTGAGAGAAGAATAACAGCTATAGGAAGAGAGAAGTACTCTCTTTTCTGCCTCCCTCACTGTAATTACACCCATTGCTCTGAGTCTATTTGCAGTTTCAGCTGGCAATTCTGGATCCTCCAATGTACCTATTAAACCAGCAACAGAGGTGGTAAACTGAGCTTGGGGGAAGAAGTAGGAGTTAATTTCAGGAGCATCTTCACCTGGCATAATTGCCCTTAACCACAAAAATACACACTCAAGTTAACCACAAAACATCCTATTTATGGGCAGACAGTCTCTTAAAAATAGCAATGGTGTAAACCTTACCACCTGACAAGAGAGACAGCACTGAAGCTCTGCAGCTGGGGAGGGGAGGAAGCTTTAGTACAGTCCAGAGCCCACAAGAGAGCAAGTTTTGCAGACAGCTGTAGGCAGGAGGACAGGCTGTGTATCCTGAACACCCCCCACCTGTGAGGCTGCCACAAACATAGCCTAGAGAAGGATGTGCACCGAGTCAAGGGAGCATTGAGGTCCTTGGACTGGGCTTGCAGAACTGGTGCTGACCATGGATGCAGGAGAGCCCCCGGGGAGATGCGTTCAGCTCTGCACGCAGGGCCAGGCAGGAGCTGTCTCCAGGCAGGGCACATCCCAGCTGCCAACCCCTGGACTGCTCAGCGCCATGACTGTGCTCTCAAGACACGTCACATACGAGTGATGGGTCAGCCCATAAATCTTTGCAGGTTTTGTTTGACCAGGAACTTGGCCATTCACCCAAAATGTTAAGATGTATAAAACCAGGCAGGAAATCTCACAGATACAGTGTTGCTTGTGACATTTCCAGCCTTTCCACTTTTGGGCTTTGCAGTATCAGTGTCAAAAGTGAGAGGACTTTCTTTGGGAGCTTGGACACTGATGCCTCCAGAGGGAAACAAAGCGCTCAGGACTGAGGGGGCACAGGCATTTGTTTTTGATGTCTGCTCTTGCTGTACACTCCAGCCCCTGCCTAATGCACCTTTTAAACATGTCACGCTTTATCCAACTTTGGATAAGGTTTCTTCCTCCTAGTCCTCTGGCCTGAGCTAGTCTGTCCCATGCTCTCAGGACATCCCCATCTCTCCCAGCCTCGATGAGTTTGTGAAGATCAGTATTACAAAAGTGAGTCTCTTCCTGCTCTCACATGAAATGGGCACTACGTGCTGCACTTTTTGCAGCTTTCCCTCTCTTTCCTTCTCATCTCTCCAGGGATTTTTCCAGAACTGGAAAATAATGACACAGAAATACCATTCACCAGTGGAGTTTTAGAAAGGTCACCCTATGGCTGCTGTAGGATAACACAGAATATTACACAGAATACAGTAGTTTGGTGTCTCTATGCCATTGCAGACACATGACATAGCACAGGAAAAGGGACGTGACCACACAAGAACGCATCTAAATTAAAACTGGCTGGTGGATAATGGAGCTCTCTGCCAGCCTCCCTGGACAGTTCCACCCAAATATAAACCTGGAGACAGTTTCAGGTTCCCCTGCACTGTCAATGCTGCAATGAACCCCTGACTACAACTGTGCTTTTTGTTGAACTGCGAGAGGAGGAGCAAATAGAAACGACCAAATCAGATTTGGGGACTGATATGATGACTACTTTTAGACATACCTAAATCAGTGGCCAAGTCAGTGTTCAGAGCCCAGGGAATAATCCACTCCCCCTGCCAGCTGAGGCTGTATGGAGCCTGGGCCCATGCCTAAGGCTCACAGACCTGAGGGATTACAAACACTGATTAAAAAAGCAGATTTTATTTCCAGTGCTCACTTACCCCAGGCCTTCCTCACAACAGCAAATGTCACTTGAGTCTCCTGGTCACTGCAGGAGGCTGAAGGCAGGCAGCACTTCAACCCACTTTGCATCCCAGTATTTGCTTAAATCCCATTTCAAGACAGGGATTGCTGTGCCAGGATCTTGGGAGCTCTCCTGAAGAGACCCTCACCCTCTCTCTGGCAATGCCGGGAGAAACAAGCAATTGGGAAACCATTCCTGCTGGTTTCATTCCTGAGCAGCTATTGCTTGCCCACTCCTCAGGGAGGTTCCCTAATGAAAGAGCCTTTTTTGTCCCTTGCTGCCTATCTGCTACCTCAAAGCAGGCCTGGCTTGAACAACTGATCAATGACCAGGGACTTCCACAAGGTAGAAGAGGATTCAGGGCGACAGCAGCAGAACCAAACTCTGTTTCTGCTGCCAGAAAACGCAAGACAGCGAGGGGAGTCTCTGATCACATCTAGCACAAGGCATTGGCCCTTTGTAACCTTATTGCACACAAACATCATTCCCTGATGGTTACTGCGTGTGTGCCAGGCACCATGGGCAAAAGATTGCATGCTTTCCTGCTAGGGCAGGCTCTGGCTTGGGTGTTACCCAAACATCCCTCCTTCTCAATTTTGCCAAGCAAAGAGCATCCCAAAAAGCATTTTCTCTTTGACCTCAGCAACATCCCTGTGTCACATATAAACCCACCATGCCAACAGGATGGCAGCATGAAGCTGCTCATAATCTGCAGTGGGAAGACAGGACAAAGCTGTGTCCACAAAAAGGAGAAAAGCTCCTGCTTCTTTAGCAGTCAGCATCCTTAAACTGAATTCTGCCCTTGAAGAACTGGGTTAGGCAGCAGAAATCTTCTTCCTCTTCCCCTCAACCCTAGAGAGAACTTCTTTTCTCTTGCCTAACGTAAGTGGACAGGATTCAGTGATCCACACACTGATCTCATAGGGAAACATAACACCTTTCCCTTATCCCCAAATATTCCTGCTAAGCCAGCACACGAGAAGTTTTCAAGGTGAAGGAGATTCTACCTTTATTTTACCTCTGTTTTATCGAAACTGAAGAGAAGGAAAGAAAAAAGCAGCCTGTTTCTGTCCCTGCCCACATGCAGAGTCTTCTCTCTGTCTCCAAAGCTACCTGAAGACCCACCACTTCAGCACAAGCTAGTACAAAACCTGCAGTCTGTTCTTGCAAATGGCTCATGAGAGCTACAGAATGACCATCTCAAGGCCCAGCTTTGACAGGCACACCTTGCAGCAGTCAGAGTTCAAGGAGAAAATGTTGTCTGAAGGTTTTAACTACACTGGTAATCCCATGCTAGTCGATCAGGAGAGCACCCAGTTATGACCTGCCCATGAGAAGAGAGCAAAACCAGGAGCCGCTGTTCAAGCAGACAACACCTGAGCTTTTTATATGCATCCTACAACTAGTCTCAAGTAAGAGGCTGGGACACCATCAGTTCTTGAGGCAGGCATGACCTGCAGATCCAGTAAAAAAGAAAGGAAAGTGGAATTCAGTCTTTTAGTCTCCCCGACACCTCTCTCCACCGAGAGGAACCCACTCACCTACATGTCAATTTGCTTATGCAGCTTATGGCAATGCCAAATCTCAGGCCAAAAACTTTTCCACAACCTATTTCAGCAGAATCTTCATCCAGATAAGACTCAAACCTTCCTTCCCAAAGACCCTCAAATTTTTATACCTTCTGTGGTAGCTCCAGTAGCTGTGAGATGTCCCCCCTAATCCACAGACTGAAGGCTCTTCTCCTCCTCTCTCCTCCTCTTTCTGGGAAGCTCAGATAACTGCTAAAACAGAGCAACTAGGGGATCTTTCAAAGTTGTTCCTCTCACTTGAGAAGCTGAAGTACAGCATCCCAGATGCAAGCAAGCATCCATTCAAAGGATCCCAGCTGAACACAAAGCAGAACATAGTACTGCATCTGGAGACTTTCTGCTGACCACTGTGCAGCTCAGACCCTCCTTTGGACATGGGAAATTTTGCATCCCCACCTTCCTGACTACAGACCAAGCGCTGCCCTTCATCTGCATGCAGAGCTGTACTGACAGTCAAGTGCCACTTCTGAGCCCACCATACCATCTCTCCACTACTGCTCCATGTCTTCCAGCCACCACAGAAAGCTACGGGGGATGTGACAGCTTCTTGCAAGAGGCTTGCCCACCCAGCCCGAGCAGGTGTCCCCCCAGCGAAAGGCAAAGCGAGAGCAAGGGCCAGGTAGCGAGCGGCTGTTACTACCTCTCTGCAGGAAAGAGGCCGTTCTCTGGATAAACCCTGATGGAGGAACAAAATGACGGGAGACAGGCATGAGGCGGGGAAGGAAACAAACAGGGGAGTCCAGCAATGGTGGCAGTGACTCAATCAACGAGTGAACAGGGAGGCCAGGGCAGCATGGAGAGCTGCGGTTGTCCGTCCCACCTTTGGGAGCACCACGGGAGGGTCAGGGGGATGTGAAACCGGGACTTGGAGGCTGCAGTGAAACCTGGGTGGACAGAGGGGGCACACCGTGTCGGGAAGCCCCACACCCCATGAGGGAACACAGACAGGGCTGGCCCACTGTGGGGCCAGACCCTCGTCCCACTCCAGGAGACCACGGCTGCGCGCAAATGGAGAAGGTGGTGGAACTGGTGGAGAGGAAAGGAATCCTTACCAGACCTCTTCTTTCCAATGGGATCCCTGAAAAAGAGAAGGAAGAGAGTCAGCAGAGGGATGGGGCAGTTGGATTGCTTGTTGGCCAAACGACAAACCCACACAGGAAAGCACAGGCTGATCTCCCTCAACCAACTAACATCCCCACGGGTGACATGTGGCATCACCCGCCTTGCAAACAGCCCATCTCTCCCCTCCTCATTTCGTAGTTTAATGTCTTTGTCTTTCCCAGGGTAAGGTTTGGTTGCTGGCCTGGGCCTCTTGGTGGCTTGCTCTGACGGCCACAACTCCCACCATGTAACTTTGCAAAGGCGAGTGGATCCGGATGGTCTGGCAGCAGAGTCAGGAGCTGGGGAAGCCCAAAGCCCCAAACTGCTCCCAGAACAGGCCACAGCTTCCACACAAGTGGGCACCACTTTGAAGACAGACAAATAGGGAAATCTTGAAGTTCCTCCATGTCCCACACCTCTCTCAGGGACAGGGATGGGAAGTGGTCAGGGAAGGGGCAAACATTTATAGCCCAAAACAAGTCATTGAAGTGTCGTAGAGAGGATGAACACCAAGACTGTGCAGCAGAAAAAGTGCCACCAGGACAGAGCAAGCAGGAGCTGTTTGTGGTTATGAGGAGGCAATTAAGTAGCTGCAGCCCGAGTCCTCTTGCTACGGCCAGCACTGCCCACACCGCTGATGAGATGGGTTAGAAACCGCAGGTCCTGGGCCCCGTCTCTTATCTGAATGTTGCCAAGAAACATAGCTGCTGAACAGCTTCAAACCCAGGGCACAAGCACAACTGTCTTCAGACACAATGAAATCTCAGTCATTTCATGATCAAAAAACAAACACCAAATCAAAAGAAAATATGGGCTCAGAATAGCCTCAAAAAATCAGGGGGAACAAACCAAGACACCTAACCAGCCAGAAACCCAAACACGTGCACCAGCCCTGACCCCAGCCCAACCACAGCGGTCCAAACAGCTACTAAAGGGCTCTCAACACATTCACATAATTCACTGCTGTGGCTTTGAAATGCTGCTGTAGTGTGGGGTGATGGTAACCTGCTCCCTCTTTTCTTACAGAGGAGACTGCTTTCCCTGCTCCTCTGACACATACGTGACAGATCAACACCATCTGGCCAAGACAAAATATTCTGGTACCAGGAGACGTGCATCAATCCTTGTTACTTCCAGGAAGAGTAACAAGCACAGAGCAGGCACCAGAGCTTCCAAGGAGGAAAACATTCACCTGGTGGTAGGGGGACCCTCCTGAAGCTTCGAGCTGCCTGACCACTGCTTGGAAAGGTGGTTGGACCAGCCCAGATGGACCCCAGGAGCTCCTCCATCTGCTTATCAAGTCCACTGGCAAAACGACCTTTCCCCCCGCCCCCACCCTTTGTTTTCAGGCCAAACACAGAAATCCCCCCATGCTCAGTAAGAAAGCCAGCCAGAGCTGGGCGATGCTTTGTTCTCTTTCAGCTTATCTGCCTTTTCAGACCATTATTACTGCAGACACTTTATTCCCCCAGAGCGATGGGGTGATGCCAGCACTCGGCTGCCTTCAAACTCTGCCCACCCATCCTGGCAATGCGTTCTGCTTGCAATGCCTTATCCTCCCTGTCCCCCCCTTCCCTCTGCACCTTAAACCTCTGATACTCATCCATGCAGCTAGCAATGAAATGAAATTAAATGCAACCAAGATGGACTAGAAACAAAGGGGACATTGTTATCTAGGAACTGGAGACTATCTGTTAAATTCAGAGACCGCAGACTGCACAAAGACCTGAATACCATGTCCCAGGTGCAGGGACCAACGGAGGAATCTACTGGACAGAGCATCCCAAAGACATTCCTAAACAGAGATCATGCTGCAGAGCTAAATCAGAGTTTATCAGTAAGCCCCATTAAGACTGCCCCGGCTCAGCAGTATGGCAGGGAAGGGTGGTGAAGCAAGGCCAGATGAGCATGCTGGAGATCAGCAGGTGGGCATGGCACCCTCGTGAAGACGGGAGGGCGCTGATGGAAATAACTGCTGCTTTTCCTCTGCCATCTGCCAAACCTATTACTGTAACTCATCCCCCTGTTTCCTTTCACTGGCTGCTCCATCTGAGTGAGGGGGCAAGGAAGGAGCTGCGATTTCACTTTTCTGCTGGGTTGTTCCTGGCACAGGTACAAAGACCAGCAGCCTCAGCCCACCACCTCAGAGGGGACAAGAGCTCAGACATACAGGAAACAGCAATAAAGTCCAGGCAGCATCTCCTCCTCCTCCATTCCCCATGGACCAGAGAAAGGCATGCAGCAGAGCCTGCATGCACGGCTTCCTGGAAACCAGTGGCTCCAGGAGAGAAGGAAAGTCCGCTCTGCTTTACACTGTGAAACTCATTTAGCTCTCACCCCACAACAGCCAGGCTGTGCAGATGAACCAGGCAGTCACAGCACAAAATACCCATACACAGCTATGACTGAGTGCCACCAACCAGCCCCACAAATCTTCCCAGGCGGTAAAACTCACGACTAGTTCTCCACCTGCTCCTCAGGACTCTTCCAGCTCCTTGTCAGGAACACTGAAGGCAAGGGTTCCCATGACTGGAGTCTCACTTAGAGCACTGAGCCAACAAGACAGTGTTAGGGTGCAGAGGGCTCAGTTCAGTGTCTTTCACAAGGGCAGGTTCAGAGCAAACAGTGCTGGCTGCTCTTCAGCAGTATGTAGGGGAGCTGTTAAACTCCTTACCGCGGGATATTGCAGACAATGAAAGTCTTCATGGGCTTACAGGGTCATAATTCAGGCAAGAAACATTAATTAAAACCCATTGATTATAAAATCAGGAAAACCCTAAAGGCTAGGACAGTATCTAGAGAAGAACTGTTACAAGATTGCTTGACTTTAAGCTCTTTTCTAAGGCATGCAAATTTGGTGGCTGCCAGGCTGTGCAGAGCATGGCGTGCTGCAGGAAGGTGGCTCTGTGGTTGCCACGCAGAAGAGCCCACCTTGCCGCAGGACTCGCGGGAGGAAGGTGCCCTGACACACGGCTTGGGGATCTCGGCACCACCCCTGTTGCCCCACAGCCAGCTCGTGGAGCAAGAGAGGGACAGCGGAGCACCGACACAAGGAAGATGACTACAGCTGCTGCAGAGCCAGGCACACAGAAGCCACGATCAACATGCTAGGTGAGACGGATATGAGGTCCCCATTCCAAGAAAACATCTTCCACAGAGAAAAAAAAAAAAACAAAAACAAACCAAAACCAAGCTCTGGTAAAAAAAAAAAAAATCCTTCTGTAATACAGTAATGCCATCAAAATAGCTATCAGGAGGTAGTTCATCTTGTAAGTATCCAGCAAGCTGGGGGATGTTACAAGTCTTAACAAAATACAGATGAGACAGACTGAGAACTGGGGTACAACAGAGCTTTTGTTTGGGAGAACTGGTGTTCAGCAAATGCTCCACCGAGCACTGAATGGAGCCCCTGTCCCCCACGCTGCAGTGCCAGTGCCACCCCTGTGTTTAACCGCTGGAGAGTCAGCCAAGCTGAACCTTCGGGCTCAGAAAGCTGCCCTGTGAGCACAGAAAAGCAAGTACTCTGCCCTGGGAAGGGGCTTGCGCTGGAGCAAAGTGGATTTTTGCAGAATGGATTCAACCCCTCTGATGTTTCTGTCCACTGTCATCTAGGAAAGACAGTTCTCAGCAGAGAGTAAAGGAGACCACTATTTTGGAGCTGAGATCTTGCCCAAGCTCCTGGTGAATCTGCACGTAGGCACCAGCAGAACTGCAAGACAAACAATTCATTCTACAAGCTGTAATTTGTCTGGATAGCAAGACATGGCTCAAAAGCCACAAGCCAGCAAGCATCCTTATCCAAACCAACATCCATCAACCGAGGGATCTCTAGTTTACCACCTAAACTCCTGGAATGGCTTCCTAGATGGGGCAGCCACTCCATTTTGGAGCAGAGACCTGAGCCTTCCCTCTGTCTATTAAATCCCTGTCACCGTGCCCAGTTCATGCCCCTATTACCCCTCAAACACCGTGCAAGGGTGACAAGGAAACGTTAGCTCCTGGCACAGCCCAACTACAAGGAAACAAAAGCACACAAAAAGCTACAGGGAAGCAGGAAGAGAAAAGACTTCTTCCTGGAAGCCACTGGCTGGAAGTCTGCACTTCCAATTTATGGAAACAAGGGAAAGGAACAGATTTGGTCCCTGCTGCAATGATGGAAATGAGCTTCTTCCCACCATCTTCTAGCACTTTGGACCAAACAGGAATCTCTTACCCACTGATGGCTGCCAGCACCGTGGCCCTAAGCAGGACCTTTCAATTAGCCCATACAGGAGACAAGCTGGCACAGTCAGGTCCCACCAGGGCTGCTTCTCATTTTAGCCCCATTCTCCCTTCTCTGATTTATGGAGGCTGGTGCCTGCCCGGAGTCCCTGTCAGTCTGCATGCGGGAAGCAATCCATTACTGTGACTGCTGCTGCCACTCCCACCTAACCCCACATCACCGGGACTGGGTATTAATTGAATAATGACAGGCTGCTGAAGTTGCTGCAGGCATCACCCTGTTAGCAGCACATGCTTCCTCATCTGCTCAGGTCCCAGCTCATTACCACACACCTTCCCAGGCAGCCTCCAGCCACCACGGCCCTTTGCTGATTCAGCAGAGCTCGGATTCAGCCCACCTGGGCCCTGCCATCCTCCTTCTCCCACTGGTGATGCTTCCTCTGGCACACGGCAGGGAAGAATGGGGTTAGTCTGCACTTGGTCCTCCACCCCTCCAAGGAAAACAGCAGCAGCAGCAGAGCTGAACTGCCCTTGAAACACCCCAAAATCCTCTCCCTTCA